ATTTTCTACTGTTAAACCAAAGAATAATTTTGATAAAATCATTTTCAATTACATTTTTCAGATCAGACCAGTCAGTGCCTTCATATAATATTGCAGTATCATCTGCAAAACTAGTTATTTTGCCAACACAATTAATTTGGAAAATATCATTTAAATATATATTGAATAACAGCGGACCTAAGACAGTTCCTTGTGGGACACCACACTTAATATACATTTCTTTACTAAATGATCCTGATATCTGCACAGATTGACAAATAACTTTCGATCAGTGAGTACGCGTTTCCTCTGAAACCAATTCTCTCCAATGCTTCTAATAATAATTTGTGATTAACTGTGTCGAAAGCTTTCTTTAAATCAACAAAAATGCAGATTGAAGGGATTCTGTTATCAATATTTTGATGTATTTGATTTACAATTTTAGTTATTGCGTCCGATGTAGCCTTCCCTTCTGTAAATCCATATTGATTTTCACTTAAAATTTTGTGAGGTATCGAATCATTCTAGTAGATAAAACTTTTTCAAAAACCTTTGCTACACTGGATATTATTGATATTGGTCTATAGTTGTTAACATCTGTTTTTGTTCCTGATTTATGTATCGGTATTATATTACCTTTTTTTAAAATTGAGGGATATATGCCAGATTCAAAGTATTTGTTGATTAGGTAAGTGAGTGGTTCTGTTATGTCCTCGGATATAATTTTCAAATGCTCGCTTTTAATACCATCGAACCCAGGACTTTTCCGATTTTTTAAGGACATAACAGTGGTGTATACTTCACATTGCTCGACTTTATCCAAAATAAATGAGTTCAAAGTTCTTTTTGGAGGCTGAGTATTTTGTACATTTGCTTGTATATTACTTGCTAAATTTTCGCCTATGTCAGTAAAGAATTGTACAAATTCATCGCATATCTGTTGAGTATTTTTTAATACTGTTCCCGATGTTGTATTTAACTCAGTGACACACTCTTTAAATTTTATTTTCCCAGTAATCTCATCAATAGTTGTCCAAAGCCGCTTAGGATCATTTAAGTTATTATTCAATTTATTTAGGTAATGTTTTCGTTTGGTTTGCCTTACAAGCTCTATAAATTTATTTTTATATTGGTTGTAGCAGACGGTATTTCTCTGTAGTTGGCGTTAGTTTCATTTATAGTCTGTCTTTTTCTATTGCCGATGTTATTAATCCTTTGGTAATCCAGGCATTTCTGCTTTTCTCTTTGTGACTAATTATTACTTTATTGGTACTAATATCTATTAGTTTTTTTATTTTCTCTATGAACAGTCCCGTTGCTTTGTCTATATTATTTATAGAGTATAATTGTTCCTAGGATTCTTGTTTGACATTTGATATTAGTTTTGAATTGTCGACAAAAAATTTGTAATTTTCCTGGTTGTTATTAACGGTAGGGATGTTAGAATGTTTTTCATTTGAAGATATCAGTAAAATAGTGGAGAAGTGGTCAGTAATATCGCTTTCTAGGATTATTGGTATACAAGTAATTTTGTTGGATAGGTCTTTCACAAAGCAGTGATCTATACATGTGCCACTGATGGACCTTGTAGGTAGGTTTATATGGGACAGAAATCCGTTACTTGATAGGATATTCGAGTATTAATTTGTGATGGGATCATCGTCCAAAATATTTATATTGACATCTCCCAAGAAAATATGTTGCTTTAAATGAACTTTATTTTGATTTTTAAAAAAAATTCGATATTCTTTAAAAACTCGTGGGGTTCTGAACATGGCGGACGATAAATTGCAGATACCTCAATTTTGTTATGGTTAATTTGGATCATTATGTTTAAAATTTTGATTCCATCGGTGAAAGTGAATGTATCATGATTATATTGCAGCTTATTTCTTACAAAAACTATCACCCCATCGTTTTGGTTATAAGTGCCAAAGTTATACAGCGTGTCATATCCCTGCTGATTGAAGCAAGGAATATCAACCACTTGCCACATTTCAGTTAAAACTATTAGATCAAAATTGTACCATATTTGGTCGAGTAGTATTTTTAAGTAATCAATGTTGTGTTTTATACTCCTTATGTTCATATTAAAAATTCGAAATTTTGCATCAGAATTTTGTGTACATAAATTAAGTTCATCGACGTTTTGTGCTATATTTGTTGCAATACTTGGAATTTGGAAATCATTAATGTATTTATTTACTGATATTTTTAGGTCCTCTTTAGAGATAGGAGTAGTAAAAGATGAACTTGAATTTTAAAAAAGTATCCTTAAGTTTTGTTGTTCCTGATAATATTTGTACGATGGACAGTTTTTGTCGGTAGGTGAGTGGTTAATATTATAATTTCTTTTTATATCTTTCATTTCCATATCTACAGTTGCAGCATTCTATTGATACATGCTTACAATTTTCTCCTTCGTGACCGTTGCCACAGTTGGCACATATCTTCTCATTTCTGCAATTCTTTTCCGAATGATTAAAACGGCATCATTTTCTACACTGGGAAATGTCGTTATTTTGATATACTGTCAAACTTGAGTTCCTGATAAGGGCAATGGTAGTGTTTCAAAAAATATATATTTTTTGTATGAAAAGAAAAGTTCTCGGAGCTCCTCTTTAAAATTGCATGATCGTATCGCAAATATTTATGAAGTCATAGCTATCCAAATGTTAACGTGGCCTTATTTGGTACGTGTACCTTATTCCAAAATGACGGAACGAAACTGACGAGGAAGTATTGTAATCGACAACTTGGCAGCCGAAAATTTCTCCAGCTTGGAAGATGGTGATTTCATATTCTAGGGTTATAAGGTACTCATACGAACCCGCATTTCCGTGAAATTTTTTTTCTAAAATGGCACACAGTCGCCGTCTTGAAATTTGTGCTTTAACGCTTAAACATAGTATTCATGTATCAGTTTCGTTCATGTTTCGGATCGTTACCCTATAGTTGGTTGGTTGTTTGTGATGACATATTTGGTAAAATACAATTACCTAACCTCTACACGTAAGTTACTCATATCTTGGACTTGAATTTATTTACGTGAAAAGCTAATTTTCAGATGCAATATTCATCAACGATCTATCTGTAACACATCTTCATTAACAATGTCTCTTCATAGTTCATCTAGTTTTAAACGGCCCTTCTCATACAATGCGTGCGTGTTGGATTGTAGAACGAAAAGGCGATATACAGGGTTTGTCCGGAAAGTAATAGGTCTCATTTTCTTCCGCCATGACTGTACTTCGGAGCGTGCGCGCCCGACTGGATTCGGTAGAGGGCGTTTATAGCTAACGAATGAGCGGCTGGTCAGTTGTCTCCGAGCACTTGGAGAGTCAGGACAGGCATTTTCGCGCGATGTGTTTCTGTGAGTGGTGCAAGTCGAAAATGCAGCGTTCGTTAGAGCAGAGGTACGCGATTAAATTCTGTGTGGAACTCGGTAAATCAACGACAGAGACGTTTGATATGATCAAGCAGGCTTACCCAGGTGTTGTTTTAGCAAGAAGTGGTGTGTTTCGGTGGCACCAGGCCTTTTTGGAGTGCCGGGAAGAGGTCGCTGATAAAGACCGTGCTGAAAGACCTTCGACTTCGACAAACACCGATAATGTGACTCGTGTGCGCAAAGTTTTGAACTCAGACCGTCGACTAAGTATTCGTTTAATTGCCCAGATGTTAAATTTACCAAAATCTGTGGTTCATCACATTGTAACACATCATTTGAACATGCGCAAGGTGTGCGCGAAGATGGTCCCACAAGTGCTTACTGACGACCAGAAATTGCGGCGAGTGGAAGTGTGCCAAGAAAATTTGAACATATTTGAAAGTGACCAACAATTTTTGAATAACGTAATCACAGGTGGCGAATCGTGGATCTTTGATTATGATCCCGAGACAAAGAGGCAATCTTCCGAGTGGCACACGACGGCGTCTCCTCGCCCAAAAAAAGGGAAGAATGAGCAAATCCAAAGTGAAAACGATTCTCGTTGTCTTTTTTGACATCAAAGGCATCGTTCACCATGAATTTGTTCCTCCTGGACAAACCGTCAACGCCAAGTTTTTGGTGGAAGTGCTCAGGAGACTCAAACGAAGGGTCAGTCGGGTCCGACAAGACATCGCAGCCGACTGGAAGTTGCACCACGACAACGCCCCGGCTCACACCGCCTTTCTTGTTAACATCTTCCTAACCAAGGCCGGCATCCCAACGCTTCCGCAGCCGCCCTACAGCCCAGATGTGCCCCCCCCCGGACTTTTTTTTGTTTCCTCGCCTGGAAAGCCCGATGAAAGGCAAGCATTTTGAGACGACAGAGGGGATCCAAGCAGCATGCACCGCGGCTCTCAAGGCTATTCCGGAGAGTGCCTTCCGTGACGCCTTCAATGCTTGGAAATAGCGCTGGCAGCGCTGCATCGACGCAGAAGGAGCCTATTTTAAAAGTTTTTAAAGAATTGTAACGATTGGCTCAATACATTTTTTTAAATTGACCCAGTCCTATTACTTTCCGGACAAACCCTGTAGTTTTAGAAAACATTTAAAAGCTCTTGGTTGCGATCTGTTTCTTGTGCATTTTCCCCCTTTCAGTTATGCGTAGTATATCTGTACTTTTCTACCAACAAATATTTTCATGTAATCAATGGTTATGTGTAAGAATAACTGTTATAGCTAAGCTTCTTCATTAAGCTGCTCTCTAGTTTTATTATAGGTAATACAAGTATTATCTGTAACTTATTTTTACTAAAAGATTGTTTGTTATTTCAGCTTGCTATCTTGACTCGTCTGGAAAATAAGTAAGTGAGGCCTTTTTGAAAAGCACCGTATACTCCTCGTCATAAAAAACACTTACCCTCCACCTCTAAATGCTTGCTCTACTGTTGTCTCGATACGTATATGGCCTATAGCTGCGCGACAACTTGGCCATAGACAAGCTGCGTTTGTTTTGATACAGCGGATAAATGCCATGTGAATAGACAACTTCAAAGGAAATCTAAAGAAAAAACTAAGTGTGCAAGCAGCAACTCACCTTTCCAGTACTTCTAACGCCTTTCCATAAAGAAAAATAAACTAGAACAAACACGGCGAAAACGCATAAGGCTAATGCTGGCTTGATGGGACCCATTCTGTTCAGGCCATCAGATTTGTACTGTTCTAATACTTCTCGTCTGAAATGAAAATGCAAATCAAATTAGAAGCCTATTTGAAAAGGTCTAAAGAATTTTTACGCGTACCTTGTACCGTGGGCGGGCAAATCGAAATTCTGTATTAAGGAACATTACACTGCAAATGCTATAACTATTGAACACACCAGCGGTGGATCTTGGATATTTATGACCCGAAGCACAAAGTTCGTATGGAGCTGTATAAGGTGTTTCAAATTCGACCTTCACCGAATTTTCCCAAAATTGTTTTAATTTCTTGTGAATTTATTTTTTGTAGGATTTCAAAATATATTGCAGACCATTGTCATTTTTTATCTTCTACAAGATGGCATAATCAGAATTACAATATGTATCACGTTTCATCGCTTGTCCTCCAGCATCAACTTTATTTTTTTTTTTGAGGATATCATATTGGATTTTTGCACAGATGAATAGTTTTAAATTCTGATTCCAAAAATACAGGGTGTTAAGTTTATTGTTGCATAACTTTAAGATTCGATAGAACTTTTAAAATTAATGCATAAAGTCTATATAAACATGGGTCGAAAAATGCGTGGCTTCCGAAATACAGGGTGTTTAAATTTACTTTCTAAAATAGTTTTTTTTTAAATATTTCGAACAATATTTGATGTATAACAGTGAGAATTGGTATACAAGGGTTTTTTGGTACGGCAAAACGAACCATGGGCATAGTTTTACTGTAGCCGCTAGAGGGCGCTCTCTACTGTACCTGTAGTGTATTAAAATGACCGAAAAATTTTTCTTAGTGCAATTTTTTGCTTTTTAAAAAAAAAACTGATTCTTCGCACATTTCAACATAAAAAAGCTCTCTTGTGAATTTTCGTTATAGTTAGCCGTTTTTGAGATATTTCGATTTTTAAGGTTCGATGCATTTTTAATTATTTATGATAAAATAACGTTAAAAAGTCATCTCGATAATTTTTAGAGGTAGGCTGTGCCTGCAAATATTTTTGAAATTGAAAGCAGAATAAGGTTAAACGTCAATTAGTTGACAGTTAGTTTTGTTGTCTGTTGAAACCTGAAACGTTTTTTTGCAATTGTGAATGTACGAAATTTAGTTTCTTTTACCTGTTTTTTTGTAAGTTTTATAAAAATGCCATTTTCATTCTCCAATCAAGAGTTAGCGGATATTCATTTTGTGTATGGCTTTGTAAATAGAAACGTAGCAGAAGCAGCAAGAGAATACGCACGAAAACTTCCAAACAGACGACATCCAACTCGCTCAGTATTTGTAAGACTGTATAGCGAAATAATTGAAAATGGTTTTGGAAATCTCCAAAGGGATCAAAACATAAATGTTCGTCAGCGCTGATTTACCAGTATGATTCTGCGTGAGTTTGATAGAGATCCAACCACAAGTGTTAGGAGAGTTTCTGGTGCCTTGGGAATTTCAGCAAGCCATGTTCACCGTGTTCTTAGAAATGGCCATAGACGTCCTTACCATTTGCAACCTGTGCAAGGACTACAGCCAGGGGACGGAGAACGAAGAATCACATTTTGTCAGTGGATTCTTGTTAGAACTGATAATAATAGCGAGTTTTTAAGTAACGTTTTATGGACCGATGAGTCCTGCTTCACTAGACGTGGAGTGGTAAATTTTGATAATCAACATATTTGGTCGCATGAAAATCCGCATGCAGTTCGGGAAAGAAATTTTCAGCATGAATTTAGTGTGAACGTGTGGATTGGTATCTACCGTAATCGACTATTTGGACCCTACCTTTTGCCTGCAAGGTTAAATGCTGCGACCTTCTTGGATTTTTTAAAGGCTGAACATGCAAATATGTGGGATGATGTTATGTTAGATTTAAGAAGATTGGCCTGGTTCCAGCTTGATGGTTGTCCAGCTCATTATTCGAGAATAGTTAGAAACTGGCTGGACGAAAATTATCCAGAAAGATGGATCGGCCGTGGAGAACCAGTCGCCTGGCCTCCACGATCCCCTGACCTAAATCCATTAGATTTCTTTGTGTGGGGATTTCTAAAAGAAAAAGTGTACCAGACTCCCGTAACCACAAGAGATATGCTAATAGACAGAATCAGGAATGCATGTGATGAAATAAGGCCTTATTTGAGTAATGCTATACCACGTTCGATCATTCGTAGATGTGAATTGTGTATTGAACAATTGGGTTTACATTTCGAGCAACTACTTTAGATTTTGTATGTTTGTCCTAACTATCCAATAGCATTTTAGTTGTAAATAATTAATTTAATTTGTTAAAAATAATATTGGAAAATTAAACAAATTAATATTCTGTTTTTTTTTTTTGTGTTTATTTGGAGTTAGGAATTATTGCTGTGTTTAAAAACACAATCTAAACGATCATCTTAATTACTTGTAATGCCCAAATCGAAAATGTAAAAAAAATATTATTTTCCCATAAATAATTAAAAATGCATCGAACCTTAGAAATCGAAATATCTCAAAAACGGCTAACTATAACGAAAACTCACAGGAGAGGTTTTTTGTGCAGAAAAGTGCGAAAAATCATTTTTTTTATTCAAAAAGCAAAAAATTGCACTGAGAAAAAATTTTTGGTCATTTTAATACACTACAGGTACAGTAGAGAGCGCCCTCTAGCGGCTACAGTAAAACAATGCCCATGGTTCGTTTTATCGTACCAAAAAACCCTTGTATACCAATTTTCACTGTTACATATCAAATATTGTTCGAAATATTTAAAAAAAACTATTTTAGAAAGTAAATTTAAACACCCTGTATTTCGGAAGCCACGCATTTTTGGACCCATGTTTATAGAGACTTTATGCATTAATTTTAAAAGTAGTTCTATCGAATCTTAAAGTTATGCAACAATAAACTGAAACACCCTGTATATTATACGTCATACATTGACATTACTAAGCATTAGTTATTTTAAAATACAGAATTTCCTAGGTAGGCCTTGAAATTATCAGATAGTCATTTGTCTCATATAACAGATTTATCGCTAAATCATTTTTATTTTTTCCTGACCTGATTTGAGGTGTGATCCCAAAATAAATGTGGTTTTTTTCCTCTACAATATGGAGTAGTCAAATATGCAATTCTTCCGACATCCATCACCAACTGTTTTCATATGGACACTCCTTTGGGATTTTGTAGATTTAAATTGAGTTTTCAGTTCTAAGTTCAGTGATGTTATTTCCTTAATTGGCCATGAATTTGTTGTTTGTACGAAAAATTATAAGATAATAAAGGTGTGGTCAATGTATGCATACGGAAGCAATTGACAGTTTTGAATACCTCAATTTGAACATAGTAACAAGACCGAGAAGAAGAGAAATAAACCTAGCAGTCAACAATGTACAGAGAAGAGTCAGGCTTTGCCTTTAAAATAACGGAAACGTTCCGTACATCTGATGATCTTATGATTATTGCTATTACATCAATAAAATTTTCATTTTGTGTTTAGGTTTCACCATACCTTTTTATTTCTTCATATTTTTAAATCGTCAATGTATGATATATTTAACAGATTTGGAATCAGAATCAAAAACTCTATTCACCTTAAGAAAAAACAAAGTTGATGTCGGAGGACACAAGATGAAACGTCATATTGAAATTCTAATTATGCCATCTTGTAGAGGAGAAAAAGCGACAATGTTAATGTGCAATTTATTCTAATACCCCACTGATAAATAAAGTCAGGAAAACATTGAAACCAGTTTTGGAAAATTCGATTTTCCCATCGAATTTGAAACACCTGGTATACATGTTGCTTCGCATAAGAACAGGGACATGTAGGGGGACCCAAAACATTGTAATTTAATGCAATTATATGTTAAATTGTACCCCTAAGAAGTGTGGCCTCGAAGTTCGAAAAAATTATCTTTAATTTTATGTACTACACGTTTTAAATATATCAAGGATCATAGACCGACAGCAACTGAAGTTTAATTAAAGCACTTTGAACGTTTGAAAAGCCCATAAAATGTGACTGGATTTTTTAACACTTTAATTTATGTAGACTTTGTTTCTAAAACGTTTTTACTCCTGTTATATTTCAAAAAACTTTGCCGTTTTCAGCAAGGTAGCCAAATAACTAAAAGCATGTATTGCAGCCGTGTTATTTAGAATTATCGAAAATTCAAACGTTGGTTATGAAATTAAACGTCAGACTTGACAATCAGATAAAAACAAATAACAATAATTCAATAAAAAAACAAGACACTCAAACAATAGAAATAACACACAGTTTGCACGGATAAGTTAAAGAAGACCTGTTATGAGAAAAATTTGTGTAACTCTGATCTAAATGAATATTTGGTTTTTGAATAAGTCTGTTGCGAAGATTCTGCATCCGAAGTCAGTTTAGCTCTAGAACGAACTGTAAATACCAGACGACTCATTCTCTGTCTTCAATTCGGTTTTGAAAAATCGTATATTCTAGAGAGCCTCTGGGAGAAACAGATATGATTATTTTTTCTATGAAGAATGTACTCACTCAAAAAATTCCCTGGCTGGACTGGAGGCCAATATGGTCTGATTCGGCCTGAACTCCGTGACAGGTTTGCAGGCTCTGGTATTCCATTCATTCCGACAAGTCGTCCATGGTAGTTCTGATTGGAAGGAGGTTATCAGATAATACAGTGCCCAACCAATGATCGTGTTGTAGTACATGCCCATGTAGATGTCTATCAAGCATATTGCATATCCCACACCTGGAAAGAAAAATTAGTCATACTACAAAGACGTAAGACATGTAGGATATATTCTTTAGTCTAATTTGTCATAGAAATATTTTTCTCGAAGAAAGCCTCGGAATAAAGGTATTAGTTAGTGCTCATAAAATATATTCATAGACCTTATATCCTTATATCCTGGATAGGAGATAGTTGCTATGCTTCCGTTCGTTTTCCCGGAGGCAAGCCTAGGTTATGCTGATTAGTAATCCGGAAGGCAAGACTTGTTTTTATAAATACCGCCAAGGGGCAAGATAATAAAAATTTAAAAACTCCATGCCAAAATGTTAAAACCTAAATTCTAGAACCTGCTTACTTGTTTAATTTTTCACTTAGCCATTTTTACCTTACAAAAATTTTGTATTTCAAAAAAACTGCTGTTTTTCCAAAATAGCACGCGTTTGATTGAAGATGTAAGGTAACAAATTGAAAGTTCGTAAAGAGTGTCAAAATCTACTTAGTGATTGATATCAACTTTTCAAAGCTCTTCCGAAACTTTCTAGGCAATTGCTTTTTTGAGCACCAATTGATTCATTGATTGAAGAACGTAGTAAGTGCTCTTGTAGAAGAACAGTCTAAAAAGAAAGCACAAAACTCTTATCAAATGAAAAAGCATCCATATGAATTATATCAGAATTTCAAATGGATCCCTTATAAATGTGGGCTTCTATATTGGCAACTGGAGAAACCGAAAAGAATTATAGTGGGAGAATTGTAGATATTTCAGTTGGTCAAATTGGGAAGCTTTTTTTGTGGCAGTTGTCCAACCGAAGTCTCTGATGGAACCACAAACTTTACCCAAGGATTGTTTACGGTACTCTATCTAGCAATCAATGCAATAATTGGGCACAGTTTCACTGTTACTGCACAAGCTAAAATGTATTCTAGTATACGTTCTCACATTGTGATCGAATGTTTTACATGCATGTAGGACATAGAAGTCGTTTAACTAACGGGTGATTTTTTAAGAGGTATAGGATTTGATTTAAAAAAATTACACAAAAAATTTTAAAAAACGATTAAATCTTTATTTGAGTCGATAGAAGGCCGATATAATTTAATGTTTAAAGATTATTTTATGTAAATGTTGGCCGCGGCTCCGCTTTAGATGGCCCATGCGCAAGGTCCAATTTTGTCACACTCTCTCCAACATATCGGCCGTTATCACACGAATAAATGCTTCAATATTGGCTTCCAGTGCGTCAATCGTTGCTGGTTTATCCCTGTAGACATTAACCTTAACATGGCTCCACAAGAAATAGTCCAACGGCGTTAAATCACACGATCATGGCGGCCAATTGACGGGCCCCAAACGTGAGATAAACTGTTCACCGAACTCGCCTCTCAGTAGGGCCATTGTTTCGTGTGCGGTGTGGCATGTGGCACCGTCTTGTTGAAACCACATTTTACACCCAAATCCTGTCGCAAAATTTTCCACATAGTGGAGTAACAGAGGCCGAATTGCTGCGAACGGGGGCGAATCGACATTTCACGGTCATCACTAACACTGGCGGATACAGCCGCAATATTTTCTTCAGTGCTCACTCTACGTCTGCACGTTGGTGGTTTAATGTCCAATAATGTAAACTGGGTTCGAAATTTAGTCACAAGCTTCCGAATAGCTCCCTCAGTAGGCCGAACAAATTGCACATAAATAAGCAGTGCTCGATGCACTCTCTTAACCGAGCATGAATTTTGATAGTAAAATTCAATAATTTGCAAGCGCTGTTCGTTCGTAAGTCGATTCATGGTTAAATTATAGACCAAACTGAACAAGTTTGACAATGACACAAGACACGATTCACGCGTCATCTGTCAAAAAGAGTGTTGCCAAGAAGATACTAGCAAAAAAATCATCATCATCATGGGTGCCATCGTATTATCAAAGCATCTAGTTTGAACATTTCTTGTGCCCCAGTACATGTTATTTATTTATTTATAATTACTAACAGGTTACACTCAATTACAGGAGATATACCAATAAAGAAAATAAATCAATAATTTAACAACAGCGGAACATAAAAAATAGAAATACAATCAAATGTATACAAGTATGCCAGTATTTGAAAGTTGGAAATAGCTTTTAACGTATTGATTCTATATCACACCAAGACACCAATCTCGGTAACAATCCAATACAAAGTTTTCTAGATCACTAAAAAAAGTTTGTATTCACCATATGGAGGATGTGGTCATCAAATGTCAGCTTAGCGTCAAAAACGACACCCAAATCCTCGAAAGTCGCGGTCAGCTCTAGCAGGTTGCCATCAATGTTATAATTATCGTATACTATAGGATGTATACTAAGTGACATATACATCCGAACACCCAGTTTAAATGGTTTTATTTTAATAAAATTTTGTATAAGTACTTAATGAAGCATAATAAGTAAATGATACAAATTTCAAAATGATTGCACTGCTTTAAAGCCCTTTGACCTTTAATAATGTGTGGATGCACCCTGATGTGCTACGCATTCTCCAACGCGCCTAGACATGCTTCTGATGAGGTGGTCAATGTCCTCCTGTGGTATCTCATTCCAGGCAACCACCAACTCCTCTCGAAGTGCTTCTAGAGTCTGAGGAGGACGTTGCAAATTGAGCAATCTCCTACCCATCATATCCCACACGTGCTCAATTGGGGATAAGTCGAGAGATCTTGGTGGCCATGGTAACAATGTGACATCATTATGCTGAAAGAAGTCTATTGTGACTCTTGCAACATGTGGTCGGGCATTATCTTGTTGGAAAGTTGGATCTGCCACGGTGTCAAGTTAGGGTAAAAGATGGGGTTCTAGAACTTCGTGGATATAACGCTGTGCGTTCATGTTACCTCTGATGAAGATTAAAGGTGACCTGGAACCATAAGCTATAGCACCCCAAACCATAACTCCAACAGTGTGATGAACATGTCTTTCAACAAAAAACTGTGGATTCCTCCTTTCACCACGTCGCAATGGCACGACCATCGTGCATGCCTAAACAAAATCGAAACTCGTCACTAAAGACAATATTGTTCCATTCCTGATCCCAGAGCGACCGTTGTCTGCACCACTCAAGGCGATTACGTCGGTGTTCTCGAGTTAAAGGGAGGACCCAGTGTGGCCGGTATGAAAACAAGCCAAAACTTCTCATTCGTCGGTAAACACTTCGCATGCTAATAGGTCTTCCGTGTTCTGCAAACCATTCATTTGCAATGGACTTGGTAGTGGAGAAACGGTCCCTTAAGGCCAATAATCTTAGGCGGCGATCTTAACGGTCTGTTGTTCTACGGCGGCGTCCAGTGCCCCTTGCTCTTTACGTACGCCCTCTCGAAGCCATGCTTGACAACACCTAACCACAGTGTCTACACTTCTTTGCACTCTAACTGCAATTGCCCGAAAAGAAAGTCCAGCTTCCCGAAGTTCCACTATACGGCCCTTATCAAACTCACTAAGTTGACGAAATCGTACAGGTCTCCGTACTCTAGGCATCGTAACCGATCGTAAAGGATGTCAAGAACCAAAATCCGCCAACGTTGATTCTTTACTGCGGCTGAAATATTCATTTTTAGAGCGTTAGTGAATTAAAAAAAAACAGTATAAAAACCGGAATGTCCAACTGATAAGGCTGAAAATTTTTTCACTTGTTATTTACAGTAAGATAAATACATTCACCAACTTTTATTAAAATAAAACCATTTAAACTGGGTGTTCGGATTTATATGTCACTTAGTATAGTTGACATTTAGTTTTGTTGTCTGTTGAAACCTGAAACGTTTTTTTACAATTGTGAATGCACGAAATTTAGTTTCTTTTACCTGTTTTTTTTGTAAGTTTTATAAAAATGCCATTTTTATTCTCCAATCAAAAGTTAGCGGATATTCATTTTGTGTATGGCTTTGTAAATGGAAACGCAGCAGAAGCAGCCAGAGAATACACACGAAGATTTCCAAACAGACGACATCCAACTCGCTCAGTATTTGTAAGAGTGCATCGCCAAATAATTGAAAATGGTTTTGGAAATCTCCAAAGGGATCAAAACATAAATGTTCGTCAGCGCAGATTTACCCGTATGATTCTGCGTGAGTTTGATAGAGATCCGACCACAAGTGTTAGGAGAGTTTCTGGTGCCGTGGGAATTTCAGCAAGCCATGTTCACCGTGTTCTTAGAAATGACCATAGACGTCCTTACCACTTGCAACCTGTGCAAGGACTACAGCCAGGGGACGGAGAACGAAGAATCACATTTTGTCAGTGGAGTTAGGAATTATTGCTGTGTCTAAAAACACAATCTAAACGATCATCTTAATTACTTGTAATGCCCAAATCGAAAATGTAAAAAAATATTATTTTCCCATAAATAATTAAAAATGCATCGAACCTTAAAAATCGAAATATCTCAAAACGGGCTAACTATAACGAAAACTCACGAGAGAGCTTTTTTATGCAGAAAAGTGCGAAGAATCAGTTTTTTTATTTAAAAAGCAAAAAATTGCACTAAGAAAATTTTTTCGGTCATTTTAATACACTACAGGTACAGTAGAGAGCGCCCTCTAGCGGCTACAGTAAAACTATGCACATGGTTCGTTTTGTCGTACCAAAAAACCCTTGTATACCAATTTTCACTGTTATACATCAAATATTGTTCGAAATATTTAAAAAAATACTATTTTAGAAAGTAAATTTAAACACCCTGTATTTCGGAAGCCACGCATTTTTCGACCCATGTTTATATAGACTTTATGCATTAATTTTAAAAGTTCTATCGAATCTTAAAGTTATGAAACAATAAACTGAAACACCCTGTATATATTTCCTGGGATTCTGGAATTTGCCCTTCTAGAAAAGTTTTGGGCGAATTTTGTTCTGAATTTATTAAAATTGAATGAGGTTATACCATGAGTTCTTTCTGATGTTCAAATCATTGAAGAGAAATTAATATATTTCCCATCGTTTTCTGTACTAATAGAATCGGGAATCAAGCAGGCACTAGCGATAG